TTTTTTTTTTTTTTAAAGTTTTTTTTTTTTTTTTTTTTTTTTTCGGTTTGCCAGCCTATATTCTTTATTCTTGTTATACATAGCCATTGGAGAAAATGCTAAAGACAAGGATAGGCTGATGTTGTTATTTGTTCATTTTAATTAGGTAATGGTATCAGCTAAAGAGGAGCCTGATTCATCTCTCCCTCCTGCTGTGGATGGCTTATTGAGGGTTCATAAGCGGATTATTGATGGTTTAGAGAGTGATTTTACCCATGCTCCTTCAGGTGTGGTCGGGAAGGTTTCCACAAAACTTCTAGTGGCAGCATCACAGGCAGGAAGTTTAATTGGGAAGCAAGGAGGAAATGTGAAATCTATCCAAGAAGCATCAAATTGTATAGTTAGAGTTCTTGGAGCAGGTTCTTGCTAATATTTCATATAACATTTTCTCATCTAGTCGTTGCATTAATATTTTTTTTCATTATTTTAGAATTCTGTATTTCCCTGGATTTCAGTGTTGTTTTTATTAAAAAAATTGATACCATGGTTTTGATCATAGGTAAGGTTGAGCTTTATGCACTGGGTAATGTTGTTACTTTCTTGCCATTGTTGGATTTATTATTTTTCATATTATTAATATCATGGAAGCAGTCAGATATGTATCACTAACTCCCTATCAGTCTATCACTACTGCTTAAATGACTTGTTAGAAGAAAAAAAAAATGAAATCATTCATTTACTAAATCAGTTGTCAGGAAAATAATCGTGATCTCAGGTTTGACATTCTATTGTTTAACATTCTAGAACACTACCATCTAATTAGTTTTGAACTTTGCCATCTGGAATCATCCTTGTCTATCCTTTTTTAACCGAAAATTATTGCAGGATACAATTTGAGTGGTATGAATGAATTATAGATAAAATAATAGCTATACTTTTAATATTCTGATTTATGCTTTCAAATATAGTATTACTGGATATTTGAAGATTTTTTTTCTGTCAAACTTGGCATTTTTGCCCTTTGGAGGACTGATTGACGATCTCTAGTTGCTAACCATCTGCATGGCTTTCTCTTCTGCAGAAGACCTCCCTATTTTTGCTCTTCAAGATGACAGGGTGGTTGAAGTAGTAGGGGATCCTGCTGGAGTACATAAGGCATTAGAGTTAATTGCCTCACACCTTAGGAAGTTTTTAGTTGATCGTGGTGTAATTCCAATTTTTGAAATGAATGTAAGTGTGTGAGCCCATTTCTTCTATTTTGAAAAAAAAAATATTTTAAAACTTTTTAGTTTGTTTAAACTTTTGAAAAAAAAAACCAGATTTTGAAAAACCAGATTTTGAATAAAATAATTTTTTTTATTATTGTTTTGAATTGTTTCGAGTAAATTTTTTTTAATAAAAGCTATAATTATAACTATTTTTAAAAAAATAAAAAGTACTCCCTCTGTTCCAAATCTTTAGTCCTTTTAGCCTTCTTTTTTTGTCCCTAAACAATTGACATTTTAAAATATCAAAGTCTAATTAATACCTTTTTTTTGTCAATTATTCCCCTATTTTGTAGACACTTTTTTCCATCAACTATTCACTTATTTTTTACAAAAACAAGATAATGGAGTTGAGATAATGAGATATTAAATAAGGGCTTTTTAGTCCAAATTTACATCTATTAAATATTTCTTAATCATGTGCATTAACCTTAATGGACTAAAGATTTGGTATGGATGATGTACTTTCTATAATTGTTACCAAACAAAAAATAGCTTATACTTTTCATAAAATTTCTAAAATAAATCATTTTTGTCAGACCTTAAAATCACTTTTTTTAATAAAAAAGATTAACTAAACAAGCCCTAATTTATTATTTTTCCAGATGCAAATTGCTAATCCCCACCATGCGGAACACATGCCACCCCACCAATCTTGGGGTCCCCCTCAGGGTCTTCCTCCAAATGCTGGTGGAGGTCCTGGTTTTGGACCTCCTTCTCAATACATGCCACCTCCACGACAACTTGATAGTTATTATCCACCAGCTGAAATGCCTCCTCCAGTGGACAAACAGCCCCATCAAGGTATATCTGCCTATGGAAGAGATGTTTCAGTAGGTGTTCATGCATCTTCAAATACTCAATCTGCACCTTCCTTGGTCACACAGGTACTTGTTCTTATTGCAAAATTGTTTAATAGTAATTCCCAACAGAATACTGTACTTGTTTTTAGAATTTGTGGTGTGTATTTCTGTGGTTTTGTAAGGGGACTTGTTGACTAAGTTGTTTCTTCAACTTGTTCTATGACTGGGAAACCTAGCAGGCTAGTCACAAAATCTAACCTTTTCAGGTTAGATTTAAGATAGCAGAAGATGATGCAAACATGCATAAATAATTTGGTGTTTAGCTTAAATATTTAAGATAAATAAAGTATGTGAAATATCTTGTGAATGTATCTTCGGTTGTTGACATTAGAAGTGGTGTCCTGTATGATTAATAATTTAGGCTTTGGAAGTATGGATGCAGTCCAGCAGTCTTGACTTGCTCTGTAATCTGTATTGACTTTTTGGCCCTAGTTCCTGCCCTGTATAAATTTTTTGTTAATTTTTTATCAATAAACATTAATTCTACTGCTATTTTGGCAGATCACGCAGCAAATGCAAATTCCGCTATCTTATGCTGATGCTGTTATCGGAACAGCTGGAGCAAGTATAAGCTACATCAGACGAGCTAGTGGGGCTACTGTTACCATTCAAGAAGCGAGAGGTGTTCCTGGGGAGATGACAGTTGAAATCAGCGGAACTGCTTCTCAAGTCCAAACAGCTCAGCAACTAATACAGGTAATTCTGATCTTGGTTTTTTAATTAATTTTAAAAAAATCAATCCTTAAGATGCTGCATGTCTTGTAAATATTTTTTCAGCTACAGCTAGAATTTAGTATCTTCTGAATAGAGTGAAATTATTCAGTGAAAAGCTGTTTGCTGTATTCATCGGGGACCCAAAAAATTCTTTTTGCACTAGTTTCATGGGAGAGGATGTGAAGAGGAAACTATAAGCTTGTTGAATTTCTAAATTACGTTATCCTTCTCAAACTCAATGAAAAAGTTGGGAGTAGATTTGTAGTTTTTTTTGTTTTTCCCTTCAAATCTTCCTATTTACCCCCCTCATTTGTATGACGTGAGAAAATTATCTTCGACCTCCTCATCCTCATATTTCATTTCATGCATTTTCTGTCTTATTTGGTTTCCGAAGAGAGGCCGAAGGTTTTGAGCTGGATGTTAATCTTGCTGGATGTATTTTGTCAATGTTTGAACGGATTTAATGCATGTTTGGTGATGCTTAAATTCAGATAAATAGACCCTTAATACTTCTCTTAGAAAGCTAATATAAATAAGCAATCATTTCTTCAAAATGAGTTAAACCAAGCATGCTCTTCACATGATTAGTTAGCTTGGTAATGAAGAAATAATACGAATATGTGGTGCAGAATTTTATGGCTGAAGCTGCAGCACCAGCACAGCCGCAAACCGGTGGGCCTGTTGCAGACCAAGGATACAATTCATACCCTGTCCATGGTTCTGTCTATGCGTCTCCTCCTTCCAATCCAGGACACGCTGGAGGCTATGGCTCAGTTTATGGTGCAAACTATGGGTACTAGGCTAGATAATGCATTTAATGCTGCCTGCCATTGTTGAGATGTAAAATGCTGGGAACATAATTAATGTAATAATTTAACAAATATTAGATTATTGTCTGATCCCTGGGTTCTGTTTGTACTAATAGTCTTTTGGAAAGGTTAACATACTATTCGTGGCCTTCTATGTATCATCTGTTTGTTCTACGATTATATCTAATTGGTGCACCTGTCTCTTCGACTTTTCCTAGTTTTGCATAAATTACTAGTTAGTTAAATATTAGAGCCAGAGGAACTGCCAACCAGCTTGTAGTTCAATTCGGTGTGGAGGATTGTTTGGTGTAACGAGTATGTAAGAGATATGACCCCCCAAATGTTTGCAAATTTTTATCCGGTTTATAGCGCAATTTTGTTATTGTTTATTATAAGCGAATATCATTATACAGCTGGTCTCCATAAAAATTAAACAAGTTAATACGTCCATCTTATGCTATGCTTTTTATTTTAAGATGATATATATTTCTTAAGAAAATTAATAATTACACAAATTACAATGACAATAATCATTTTTAGAAAATATTCTCATAAAAAAGTATTAATAAATGGAGATATCAATAAAAATATAAGACTAGTTTGATTTTTTTAGAGTAAAATAGAATATTAAAAAAAAAACTCAAGGCCAAATATTATTCGGACTCAAAAGGCAACAAGTTTGAGAATATTTTTCGATCTAAGCTAAAAGGGATATGGATTTGGAATGGCATTTCTTTTTTGCTTCTGAATAGAATTACGCACAGATCTCACTACTACGGACGTTTAGCATAACTACTACGGACGCACTGTAAATGAACCACAAAAGGCTAAAGATAATCAATCAATTAATAAACCAAAAGGAATGCTTTTTTTGTGCTAATTGTCCTTCCCTTCTTCATTGTTACGGAAAACAGAAGCTTCACCGCGAAATAAGCAAATTGGGAGGTTTCAATACTTAGTCAAATTCAAAATTTTAGTTGAAATAAGAGGGTATTAATGCGCTATTAAACAATACAAATTAATTGACTATAAATACACAGCGCAGCTGAAACAAATTAATTCACATTAATGTAAAGGAAATAAAAAAAAAAAAACATCATTGGTCTAAGCTAGAAAACATAAATAAATAATGATGGGCAGTTAAATGAGACTTAGATGGGGGCTGCACAGGTGGTTCTAAAGTGTCCTGTTTGATTGCAACGACTACAATGAACGACCCGTTTTATACGGCCACGGTCTTCTGCCCGAACCCGTTTCTTTCTGGGCCGTCCCGGTGGCCTGAGTGATTTAGGAGGGTTAATAATAAGTTGAAGTTGAAGTTGTTGATCAGATTGGGAAGCAATAGCATTGACATCCCCTTCAGGCTCAGATAACTCCTTCCACAGAGACTTATCAGGAATTGGATGAATGGTCTGTGAGTACGTCTTCCTATACGTTGCAACAGTAAAACAGCTCTCTGTGAATCTATGCACATTCTGCCTAATAGACAGAAGTGCAGCCACAGCATGTGCACAAGGCAAACCATAGAGCTGCCACCCGCGACAATGACAGCAACGCGTCCTAATGTCAACAGTATTTGTTCCTTCGTGAGATATAACTTCAAATTCTGCGTCAGTGGCACGAAGTACCTGGTGTGTTCGTGCACGGTCAAGAGCCTCTGCAACATGTCTCTCAGCAGAAGGTACAAGTATTGATGTCCACTGCATACTCGTCTCTCGCCGCTCGTTAAACCATGTCATCAGCTGCCTTCTAATGCATTCCATCATTTGAATTATTGGAAGCCCAGATGCATCTAATATCCATGTGTTTAAAGATTCAACTATGTTAGCCGTCAAATTGGCGAAACTTTGCCCCTCAAAATATGCAGTAGCCCACAAATGAGGTGGAATACTTCGAAGCCAATATGCAGCAGCATGTGATATTTCTTCAATCTCTAAAATTTTTGCTTCGAATTCAAGTATAGTAAGAACTTGAGCTGCTTCCCACAGAAGACTAACAAGCATCGTGTTGTTAAACTCCTTGCGGAAGCTGTCACTCAAGTGACGCATACAAAATCCATGGAAAGCAGTAGGAAAATTTGTGTCCACACCATCTACAATTCCCTTCTGCCTGTCAGACAAAATTGTAAGCCTTGGCATGTTTTCAGTGTTAATCTCCAGCAGGTTACGAAGTTCAGACAGAAACCACATCCAATTATCATCATTCTCCTCATCAACAACACCAAATGCCAAAGGAAAGAGAGCCCCATCACCATCAAATGCAGTAGCAAGAAGTAATGTACCAAGATACTTGCTCTTTAAATACACCCTATCAAGCTCCAAAAGTGGTCGACAGGCATTTAAAAAACCATATATTGATGCTTGAAAGGATATGAAGAGGCGTTGGAAGCAATTATCAGTTGGGTTTCCATAAACAGATGCGATACTGCCTGGGTTTGTGCGTTTCAGCTGTTCACAGTACTGTGGAAGTAAGCGATATCCCTCTTCAAAAGATCCACGCATTGCAGCCATGATGCGCTCCTTGCCTCTCCATGCTTGCTTGTATGACAAAGTGATGCCATGAACCCTATGAATCTCTTCCAGTATCTCCTTTGGCTTGCAATTAGGGTTCTCCCTTAGCCTTTGCTCCACAGAGCTAGCAACCCATTGAACTGAGGCTTGCTGATGGCCAAGATGCGAAATTCCTCCACATGTATGACTCTCATGGATTGTCCTAATAGTAAAAGTTGGGACCCCAGGGAGCTTTGCCGCATGAATTCGCCAAGGACATCCATCACTTCGGCATTTAGCAGTAAAGCGGGTCTTGTCAGATTTTATAGTCTGTATCTCAAAGTGCAGAGCGATTGCTGTATCCCTCAATGCCCTCCGGCAACTTTTAACATCAGGGAATTCTTGTCCCACTGACAATTCATAACTAGGACTTATAGCTGATGTACGAGCCTGAATTACAAGGGGTGTGGTAACCATAAGCTGGGATTCATGAACACCCATATCATCATCAGCAGAATCAATACTCATATCTGGATTATGGATCACAGTCAAAGCCATGTTCTCATCAAATTCCTGGCTTTCTGAAACAGACAAATCATTGTTCTCCGGTATGGCCAACTCATGATTTTGTGTGGGAATGGGCATCTCATGGTCATCAAGATCAGGTTTTTGATCCACCACGGCTAACTCATTCTCATGCCCATAAGTGTGAACAGCATCTCCTTCATCATCATGGTTCAGTCCTAAACCCAATTCATGGTCATGGGCATCTCCTAAGCACAGTTCATGATCATGAGTTTGTCCCATACCCAAATGTTGATCAGTTTGTTCCAGGCCCAAATGTTGATCAGTTTGTCCCAAACCCAAATGTTGATCAGTTTGACCAAGACCTAAATGTTGATCACCAGTTTGTCCCAATTCCAAATCATGATTCTCACTGAGGCCCAAACTATGATTATGGCTCAGCATCAGTTGCTGGTCATGGCCAAGTGCTAATTTATGACTTTGGCCAAGTATCAAATCATGGTTAGCCATTGAAGACATGAATCACTATATATAACAACAACGTTTTGTTGATAGAACACCAGCTGCAAGGAACCACATATAACAATAGGCAAGTCAGAAAAAATCTTGCAGAAAGTGAAAGTTTGATGATTAAATACAACTAGATATGCTGAAATCAAAAACTGCAGCAAATAAACAGTTCATACAAGGCAAGTGAGTGAAGATATAATAACTCTATCGGCAATTCCCACAAAAGTATGAAATACGTACAAAATTATAGATAGCTACAAAGATGGGATCCATAAAGAAACATACACAAGACCCTCTCCGCTCTTAATGGCCTAGCTATCACAAGTTACAAACCCCAAATTGCACAATACAATGTCAGTGTTAAGTACAATTATAATATTGGGATTAAAAAATACAAATCCATGATTGTAGATTATACTATCAACAACCACAAACACACCATTTGAACTTCTGTAAATCCAAATCACACAGGCAGCCACACAAACAAAACCACCCCCATTTCGGTAACACAGAAAGAAAAACAAGCAATCCAAACAAATTACAGAAAGAAAAAATCCCATTGAGCTTAAGTTAAGAGTGGAGATGCTAGTAAACTCGAGTCAAGCTATATGAAAAGAACAAACTTTGAAGGGAATATAAAATCATAAGCAGAACTTGAAGCGATAATTACACAAACATTAACGTGCCGAATTTACAAACTACCCCCCCCCTCCCAAAAAAAAAACGCACACAGAGAAGAATTCTAAGCAAAAAAAAAAGAAAAAAGTACTTGGTGAGGAGAATCAGAGTGAAATTACCTGAAAGATTAAAACTGGGAAGAGAAGAGGCGGAACCCTAGGTGGGAATGGAAAGGGGGTGATCGAAGAAAGAAGAAACGGGAATTTGAAAAAATGGCGGGGAAGTGGAGAAAATCGGAATTAGGAGAAGAAGGGTAAGGAGAAGAGAGGAAGATTGGGAATTAGAGGGTCTTCATGGGAAATCCATACCTTCAACCAAGCGCAACAGAGGGTATTTAGGTCAAACGAAACCACCCCTCCTCTTTACTATTCCCTTTCTTCTAATTACCTTTTTACCCCCACTTCCACATAATTCTTCTAAATGCACATTATTTAAGTAACCAAGGACCATATAATTTTAGATCACAATAATAATTATTTTGTTGATCAACTCCTCCATGTAAAAGATAACATTAACAATTATATTATATGAGAGTATTTTTAGAAATTTTCTTTAATAAAATTTTTATAAATTTTTAAATGTTATATATAATTTAATTTTTATTTATTATAATTATTTATAAATTAAATTTTAATATTTTTAAAATAAATTATCAAAAAATTAAAATAATTTTATGTTATAATATAAATTATTTATCATAAATTCAAAATATAATTTATATAATTTAAAATATATTTTTAATTATATCCAAACTTAATTTTAAATTTTAGTTTTATATAATACATAAATTAAAATATTAATTTATAATTTATGATGATGAAATTTATAATTATTAATGTTAAATTTTATTCATAATTAATATTTATATATCAAATGTGAGAATGATTATCTTCTACGATAATATTTTAAAAAATTATTCTCTAACAAGAACCTTTATATATTTTTTGATATTTTATATAATTTAATTATTTTTTATATTTATTTATAAATTAAAATTTAACACTTTAAAATAAATTATTAATAATTAAAAGTAATATTAGTATAGTATAGTATAGTATAGTGTGCATTAAATATGAATTTTATAAATTGTGTGTGTATTACATGTGAATTTTATAAATTCAATCGTTAGATTGAAAGTTTTTTACTCTTAGATCATATATACAAAATTTTATATTAATACAAGATCATTTGATACTTCATTTTTATAAAATAAAATTGACATAATATATACATTTCAAAACTTACTAAAATATGAAAATTTTGATTATTTTTAAGTTGTTCAATTTTAACAAATTTTGATATAACATATAAGATATAATATGAACTTTTGATCTAATAGTTAAATTTATAAATTTTACATTTAATTAAAAGTTATTGATATTTATGAAACTTACTAAAGTTACACCAGTATCATTTTAACTTTCCTATATATATGATATTTATTGTCAATTTTTATTTATTTATAAGATTATCCCTTTATCATTTAAAATATAAAAAAACAAATTCAAAATGGTACATCAGAGGTTTTTGCTAAACAATTTATCCACGCATTGGTAAATTTCAATAAATTTACATTTGATTCTTTTTAAAAAAAATTATGCTATTATTAAATTATGTAAAAATATTAAACGCCAAAAATTATTATTATTGTCAAATTCATTTAATAATAGGGAGAAATCAAATTATATTAATGTAAATTTTACAACTATTACACTATTTGATAATTTTATATAAAAAATAAATTTATATATTTAATTGTTAAATTATAACTTTATATTATCTTAAATATTTATGTTAAATTTGTTAAAAATTTAAAATTAAATAATAATAAAAATACAATCCAATTATTTATATTTTAATATGTTTTAAAATATATTTATTATATTGATTTTCATATAGATAAAGGTAATATCAAATAATTTTGTATTCATATAAAATTTTGTATATATAATCTATAAAAAATAAAATTTCAATTTGATGATAAATTTTAAAATTTAATCAGATCGAAATTTATTAAATTAAATTATGTATAATATATATATATATATA